TAATATTCAATGGTTCATTCAGAATCCTGTTTCACCTATCTTGTGCAAGTCAAGACGCGATGCGACCCATCTTGTTGAAGTTGCTCGACCTGCGGGCATCCTTCAGGAACAAGAGGTCATTCTTGCGGAAGAATGTATCTGTCGCTGAAGGATCACCCTCTGGCGCCAACAGTGACGTCAGCACGCTCTGGTAATGACTTTCGTCCAGTGGAGGAAGCAGTCGATAGGTCTTACCAGACAATGCAGCCCTGTCGTACCGGCACGTTGCATCATAGATGTACAGTACCCTGTCAACCTTCCCCCCGGACTGGGCCAGGGCCTCTTTCCACTTGCTGTTGTCTGGCTCCTCAATGAACGTAGCGTACTGTGTCAGACCTGAGAGGCCGGGGGTCTGACACACAAAATTGCAATAATAATGGGTTCATGACCTGACTGACTGAAGCCTCAGGGTTTCTTAAAAGTAAGAACCTGACGAGAGCTGGCAAAGGAATACATGTTCTGCACGGCATCTGGCGAGACGTTGTGGAAGCTGTCTAACGCCAGACTGGGCAGAGTCAGTGAAGGAAAAAGATCTGACTCCAACATCTGACGAACCATTTCGTTTTCCTTGCTGATCACCTGCTCGTCCTCATTCTCCGCGAGAAGCTCGTCCACTACGGGCTTTTCGACAGAATGATCTGACGTAAGATGCTGTCCCAGAACCAGGGTGGCCTGCGAGTCATTGCCATCGTCCACAACACTCTCCGAGGCTGCGGTCTGACTGTCCTGCTCGCCAGCTGCCGGCGTCGTACTCGGTGGCGGTGGCGGTGCGGTCTCCTCCTCGTGCAGCTGGAGAATCTTGTCCAAGTCAAACAAATCCTTGCTGGCGGTTGCAAACAGGAAATTTGTTTTAAAAGTGAAAACCCACACTTGCTTCTTTGTCAAAACTCTGGGTCCTCGGAGGCGAAGTCTGACGATGCCAGAATACCTTCTGCTGACATGTTCGAGTCTCTGGAAAGGCATTTCAGGAGAATGTGGTCCGCGTTCCCGTCATACAGCATGTGGAGACCTGGTGTCTAACAGTAACACCAAATCAAATCAGCACGCAAATGAAGCTATGGCGGGCATGCCGAATCAGACAAGCTACCCGTGGCTGCCGCTCGCTCTGACGGTCTGACGAACTTCTCCGTAAACGCTGTGACCTCTGGCGTGTTGCCGCCAGCAAGCTCCATGAACTTGCCACGAGGGAACATGATATGGAAGTCTGACCAGTCGCCAAAAACCGTTCCGATGTTCTTACATTGGATCTTCCAGGCCACATAATGGGAGATCCGACGCAAGGCCAGGAAACACGGGATGACCTTGTGGCGGATGTCCTCCCTGACGTTTTGTGCCAACGTGCCCCTGAGCAGTCTGACATGAATCCCAGCCACAACGAAGTTCAGCAGCTTGTCTTGCAGCGGAAGGTTCTTGGGGCATGACGTCTTACCGCAGAGGGTGTCGAGCGCGGCCCATTTGGCCAAGGGGTGTGTCTTACCGAAAGCGTACTCCAAGCCGTCCAAATGGTTGATTGCCACTTCAGTCATACGTTTCACGATCTTCAAGTGGCACTCCACGGTCTTCTGACCGATGGTCTCCTCCGCGAAGTTGATCTTGGAGAACCAAGCCGCAACGTCTGACGATGTATGCGGCTTGTTCTGACGCTTCAGTGATTCTGACACCTGGTGAGTTTGAAGGCACTCCTTGTAGCCAAAAAGCTGGGCCGTCAGAGCGTCCGACTTGATGTTCTCCTCAAGCTGTCGCCGGAGCCTTGTCTGACAGGAACCCAAGGCACACCGAACCACACTGGGGGACTGCAAAACTCGACTCTGGTTTGCAGCCCGGATGCACACCAAACTCGTCGTCTGACACGACCAGCTGGAAAGTAACGGCTACAGAGCAGCTGGCTTCCTCGAACCTCTTGACCACATCCATGGCTTTGGTCTCACGTGCTTGCGCGAACCCCATGAGCCAGCCCATCCTGAAGACGCTCTTGTCGGCGACTTCCCATGTCCCCGCCTCGGGAGGCGAAGTCTTACTGGTAGCACGGATCCTGAGTTGATTCCATGCTGACACGTCTGGCCGTGCCTTCTTGGTACACACAGCCGGGATGAAACTTAAAATTAATCCATGCAAGATTCGTAGTGGCATGCTGCGGCTGGCAAATCTTATCCGTCAGGAGACCATCTGACGTACAGAAGTGGTGCTTGTAACTTCTGACAATACTTCCGTAGTTTGGCCAGACATCTGACTCGAATGCCTCAGCTGACATGAATAGAACAGGGACCGGTGAACTGAGCGATCAGTCTATGGACTGCGACGCTGTCTGACTGCCTCAGGCTGGTGCCACCAAACCGAGCCAGTGCAGGGGCACCACACACGTGTACTTGCCTTTGTCTGACATCTCCTGAGCGTAGTTGGCGCAGTCAAACGCCTGGATGCCAGCGTAGGCAATGGGTCTGACATCGGACTTCTCCATCTCCTCGACATAGTCCAGAAGAGGTGCCAGGATGTCTGCCGCCACACGCCTGTGATTGTGCACCGGCGAGGTGCTCATGCTTGACACCGTCGCCGCTGCTTTCTGAGACGGTGTCTGACAAGCTTCCTGCTGAGTCTTACAGTCAGCTGGCTTCTCCGCAGCCTTGGCCTGAGCTGCCTTCGGCTGAGCTGCCTTCGGCTGAGCTGCCTTCGGCTGAGCTGCCTTCGGCTGAGCCCCCTTCGTCTTCGGCTTAGGAGCCATGGGGTCTGACAAACAGCGTCGCTTGATCGTCAATCTGACAGCTGCAGCAGCAAACTAAATGCCCCGTGAGCTCGTGAACCGTAAATGGTCCTACACGCAAGCTAAAGACTGCAAAGCCAGTCCTGGTTGTCCGACCAAAGTCCGCCATATGTTCCTGTAGGCACCTGTGACAAAAGCACAAGTTCCCAAAAGCATGTCATTGTCAGATTAAGATGCAACACCAAACGACGGGACGCTAGTTAGGCCTCCGGCGTCAGGCGCCCCAACTTGTGTCCGCAGCGTGCTGAGGACGCTAGTTGGGCCTCTGCAGGGCCAAATGTCCCAACATGGCAAAGTGTGTCCAGGGTCGCAATGGTCTGGGAGGGGGTTTAAGAGGCCCAACTTGTGTCCGCAGCGTGCTGAGGACGCTAGTTGGGCTTGCGGAATCGGAAGGCCCAACTTGTGTCCCACGCAATCATTTTCATCGCACACGATGACGGTCTGACCATCCAAAATCTGTGCATTAACACTCTTGCTGACTTGCTTCTGCCAGCATGCCTGCCGCACCATTTCTGATCTGACATAACAAAATTGAATTTGGTGCACTGATGGTCAGACTCAGCGTCAGCCTTTCACTCACATCAGGGCGAGCTCCATGTGAAATTTACAAAGCGTGTCTGACTTTGAGTTCGCTTGCAAAGCACACTTCCTCTGAAATGCTGCTGCTCTGACAAACACGTCGTCGATGAAGAGCTCTGCCGCCTCGTGCAGTTGTCTGACAGCATTGGGAGAGATTCGCCAATCATCCGGCTTCATCTTGTGCAACAGTTGTCTGACGGTTCTGCCGATGACCAAAGTTGGCATGAGGAAACGTTTCTGTTTGATAAGGCGATCATCCAAATTGTTTCTGTGACTCTTCGTTCCCGGCCAATGCTTTGCCGTCTTACTGGGTTTGCTGTCAGACAAACTGCGACTCCTTGTGCCAGTCTCACGCTTTCCGCCAAGAAGAAGAGCGATGTCCATGTGAGAGGCCACATCGTCTGACGCCTCCTCTGCACTCTCGGAGCTGCCGCGTGCCTTGATTGGCGATGGTTTTGCTTTACGCCGATCGTTTCTTGGAGTCTTACTTGGGCGCCTTGGCTGGGCTCGAAAAGGTGTGCCGCCAATAACCTTGTGGGGTGGAAGCTTGACCACCTTGCTTCTGACCATAGCTGGCACAGCACAGAAAGGGAAAGTCCACGACTGCTACCGTTGCCATGCTGATATTCAGGATTCGTCTGTCTGACGACGTCATGCGAACATGATCATGATTATAATTAGAACTACAGAGTGCGGTAATTACTAGACACCTGACCTGCGGCAGCTATGTTGATCCAACACCTTGAGACAAGGATTCTCCACAACGTCCTGGTCTTGTGCCCGCCAAAGCAAACGCTGTCACGAGGGCTGCTCCCTGCCTTCATTCATAATGTCCATGGTTCCGCTGCTGACCATCGTCTGACCTGATTGATTCAAATGATTCCCAGACAGAGCTTCCGCTGAAATTCAGCAGCAGAATCCGACTGAACAGTTCGCATGTCAACCAAAGCAGGCAACGGTAACCCTTTTTTCCAACCCTTGCATGTTCATTCCGATTCAGCTTCGACTCCAGCACTACTGACTCAACACTGCTGTCTGACCGATGGCCTCACTGGCTGTGGCTGTCTTTACAGGGCATCACGCATGTCTGACCACCTTCGTCGTGCCATTTGCTACCACTGCAGTTGACGGTTCAATTCATGCGACATGTCAGGCCAGAATCAGACAAGGAGCACTGTGATCTGCTCGAAAAAATAATCAGACGTGATCGGGTTACCGCTCTTCTTGTTGATGCGGCCTTTGTCCTTCTCCCTGGACTTCTTGGAAATCTTCTCTGACATGAGGACCCACGACCTCTTCTTGGTCCTGGCACACAGTCGTTAATAATTGCGGACAACGGCATCGTACTGACATGCAACAATCAATTGCAAACGAGCTGCAGGTTCTTACGGGAGTCACGGGTGGACCACAGGCAGTTCGCACTCGCAATCTGACAGCCCACGAACACGATCTGGCTGATCATGGAGGAAAACTCTGACGAGTTATGAAGATGCAGCTCACGGGGAACACTCACAGCACGTGCCAGTCGCAGCACTGGCTGCAGCTTCCATCCCAATCTCTTACACTCCACAAGCCACTCGATTCCTGCCACCCAGCCACCAACCAAACGAGATGCCATGAGGAAAGCGGGCAACCTTTCTAACTCAGGCGTCTTATTGTCTGACTCGTCGTCGTTATTAGTCTGACCAGCAGTCTGACCAGTGGACTGACACGCCGAGCGAAGACCGCCCTGGCACACAATCTGACCTTCGTCCCCGTTTGTAAACCAAATCAGGTCCTTAACCTGGAACAGTTCCCGGAAGAATTCCACATCTGACTTCCAGGCCAAGGTCTTGATTCTCAGTTTGGCAAGCAGAGACTGCTCGTCTGACGAAAGTTCAATGCCAGGCATCAGGACGCAGCTGCAGGAAAATGATAATGTGCAGTTGTTCCTCTCTGACCATTGCAAGTCACGTCGTGTGAGGTCAGCTACTTCTCTCGCCTGCATCTCCTGCTGACAAGCTTGCAAGGTCGCCTCTGCATGCGGGTCTGACCCATCGGCCAGAAGTTCCAAAGCCTTCCTCTTCTTGTCCTGGACGGACCGCGCTTTGGATTGTTCAATGCAAAGGTAATTAAAATTACATTTCGAAAAATTTCAGTCACTAATGGGCTAACATCAGGCCAGGTGCTTGATTGTCTCGCATAGTCTTACAAAGGCTTTGCTGCTTGGCGGTGGCTTTCTTGGTGGCCGAATTCGCAGTGATTTCCTCAAGGCCTGCTTGCTCCAAAGTCTGGTCTGACCCTGATGCCTCCCGCTGTTGCTTCATCAATGATGTTATCTCATCATGTCTGACTCGGAGAAAGCCCTGAACGCCTTTAGGAGCAGCTGTCTTCTCTGACAATTTTCGTCTTGGCAGGTCTGGTGTCTTCCGCTGATTCTTAGCCGTCCCAAAAGTCTTGCGATACAAAGCCTGACATCGCAAAATCATGTCTGTGGAGGTGTACTGCATCTTGCCGTCTGACGAACGACTCATAGGACACAAGTCTGACACCGACGGCCCATCAAGCAGAACCTTGAGCAAGTCCCGCAGGTGTGTCTCACAGATGCGACTCTTCAACTGAAAAAGCTGAAGGTAGGAGAAATCTTGTTCTAGCTCTGACGAGCTCACCCAGATGCTCAGCATGAAGGGAACCTCATCGCTCGCAAAGGACACACGCCGAGTCTGACAAAGGCCGCCAAGACTCTTGAATCTGACTCTGATTGCCACCAAGCAGCCAGATTGTTCAGTATGGGAAGTGTCTTACGGCCCCAGTGCCGCAAGACCTCTGGCCAAAATATTTCTGGATCCGTGCATCCCCTCCTGCAAAGACTTTTAACAAGCATGTCAGTCTAAAATCACAATGATATTAATTTAAATTCAGAGTCTACAAAACGACAAATACAGCCTGATCGCAGCCAGTGCTGTCGGTCTGGCCACCAGCAGCTCCTTCACCAGCGGTTCCACCTGGTGACCAAAACTAAGAAAACAGTGCAACTCGTGCAAATCGTGACGGTGTGGACACCGGCCTCCACCTTGCCCACCGTCGCCAATGGCCGCAGAACGTCTGACCTCGGGCACCACTGTTACACATGATTCAAATTGTAATTATTAAATGTAAGTATTAATAATAAATATACATAATTAAAATTTCTTAGACTATACGCACCAATGCTATCAAAACGGCGGCCCAGGGACAGAGCCTTGTCATCCCGTGTCTCCACCCATTGTGTTACGTCGAAAGGCTCGAAGGCCTCTCCCAGACCAGCTTCGTGGTCTGACAAGACGCTTTGAAGATAGGCTCGCTTCATGTTGGCGATGGAGCCGAGGCCGTCAGCGATCAGACACTTCAGATCCAAGTCGTGGCCTTGGCTGACAGATTGAGGTCTGAATATATTTAAATTTGCAGAATGTGAGCGGACTGTGCGCCAATGCCACGCCAAGCAGCTGTAGAGGCGATACAGCAACCGGCCCTTGTGGACAACAGAGAACGATTTCTGACTGCCTCAGAGTCGGAGACTTGTGCTGCCAAACCTGGATGAAAAGGTCTGACTGACTGTGCAGCAAAGGCACCGAACTTCAGAGCTTCAGCTGCAATCTGACAGTACCCGTGGGTGAAGTTCCGATCTAACACGAGTGGCTTGTGTTTCGTCCCGTTGATCTCATAATCAAACAACCTTGCCAGCATTTCTGACACCATCCGGGACCTCCGAGATGCGAAAACAATCCTGCTAACAGCATTGCCATTCACATTCTTCTGACGAGAGCCGCTGCCACGAGTGCCGCCCTGATTGTCAAACGAGTGGATGTGCTGTCTGACGCACGACATGAACTCCACAAGCAAGCACATGGCAATGATGTTCGGCCAGGTAAAAACCTGCAAGCTTATTATCCATCATTTAAAAAACTGATATTATACACAGGTTTCACATCATGTCAGTCTGACCCACTCGCCCGGCCTGGAGGACTGACAGTGCCCAGTCACGGTTGTCGTCCGTCAAGCAAACCTTGCAAAGGAACTTCAGAATCTCGTTCAATCTGAGGACGATCAACCTAAGGGCCTCTACTGTGGAGTCCCACCTCTGACTTGCAAAGCTTGATTGCATCGCAGAGCTGGCCGAAAGCTCTGACACCACGCTGGGCTCCAGTCTTACTTCAGATCGAAACATGGATGCCAACTTTGGGCTATTTTTTAATGCCCTGGCCAAGGATCCCCTGCTGTGTGTGTCAGCAAAGCGAGTAACCAGACGATCCATCAAATAGCCCATCTTCTCGTCTGACTTGACGATCGACTCCAAGCTGGCTTGTGCCGCATGAGAGAAACATCGAATGGAGGCGTCTAACGACGGAAGAACGTTGCCGACC